TCCTTTACTTAAGTAAAAGTAGAAATACCACAGTTTTAAAATAGTTTCTATTACAAGAAAAAGTACAAACAGTACATTTACTATCTTAATCATCAAACTGTACTTAAAGCAGCAAAAGTAAAACTAGCTTAGAATGTGGTACTGTACGTGGCGTCGGTTCATGCCACATATGTACCTATAAAAGTATATACAATTAAACATTAAATAAATATATGAAAGCACTCATAATGCAGGAATATGGCCCTTGTCTGGGTCAGCCTATATCATTATTTTTATTAGTATTATGTTAATATTTTATCACAGATCAACAACCAAGTATTTCAGTCTTCATTATGAGGGAGCTAATTTCATCTACTTAGCTCTACTACCATCTACTGTGTTAGATGCTACACTGTAGTGCGATAAACTATTTTAAATCAAAATGTTATCCAAATGATATTATCCGTTTCAACATTTTTTTAAGTAACACAAACATAGTTTTATAAGTTCAAAAAGATTCATGATTAAGCAGCTTTTATTAGTAATTTTAAGTGACACTAACTGTTCCTGGTTAAGTAGTTTTTACTGGGTATTTTCTTTTCACAGCACAAATAAAAATGACAAAATTAAGCATCACTTTAAATGACGAAAGGTACTTAATTAAGAATGTTTTCCTAACCTAAAAATTAAGTTTGTTTACTTAAAATGCTCAATTTAATCAGTTTAAACATTTTTTTGAGTTAAATTAACTTATGTTGTTTTACAATACTTTCACCGAATCATTATTGCAATACCACATCATGTTTGTTTTTTTATCTCTAGTTTTATTTCTGAACGCTTCTCCTAAATCAACGGTTATATGAACTGTATGCCAGATGAATATTTATAAATGTAAATATTGTAGACTTAAATACTATTTTTATATCGATACTCCGTTAGTAATAGTAGCTTTTATTTATCTATTGGGTTATTTAACAGTGCCAGTGTGTATTACTGCAGTTAACATCGCTGTAAAGTGCTAGAATTCGTAGTATGAAACATAGTCACCCTAAAGAGGAATATGATGTTAAAATCTGAGTTATTAAAACAATACGTTAATTGAGACAGTCTAAAGCATGCAGGTGCAATAATGTAATGGAATATTAAAGTTATTACAATTATTACTGATCAAAATGTGCAAAACACAGCACGCAAAACACTAACATTAGGCATATTAATGGTAATAAATATCTACACATAAGACAACACTGTGCTACATTAGCAGGTATTAATGAGCAACAGAGAAACATATGATACACAGCAAGCTACACATACGTACAAATAATATAATGTGTGGAAATACATTGGTATTAGTTATATTAACAGCACTAACTGTATTAGTAGGCAGTAATATAGAGGCAGCAGTAGCAGTAGTAATAATCTGTATTTAGCAGAGATATGAAGGTTTAATTGTATTATTTCACTATAATTTATTATCAGTGGTGTTAACAAGTAAAAATTCAATAATAATGAGCATTAAATGATTCTATCTTCACATTTATGAAAGGATGTAGTATTTCCACTGCTGGAGAGAAAACATGAGTGATTAATCTGAGTGGACAGAAGCTAGAGGACAAACCCAAGTTTCAGCAGAGAAAATAGGTCAGCCGGTCCTAATGCGAGTGAACTTTTGACCTGGACGAAGTGGAGCTACTGTTTCAACAAAAGACCCGCGCTTTCCACCAAAACCTGCCCTGCCGTTATTTAATTGGAGCTTCGCCTCACAGATAACGCTTTGCTTCACTTTCATGACTTTTGAGCAAATCCTTCAAAAACAATGCGGCAGATTGAGCCGCCGAGCGAGGAGGCGATAAAAGATGAATCTATGAAGAGCGTGCGAGATAATAAAGTTTTACTGCGGGAGGAGCTGTTGGAGGTACAACAAAAATCTAATTAAATGTCTTTTATTTCTTTAATTGTACAGAAATCTCTCCATCTCCAGCGCTGTCTGCTTTGTCACAACAGACAGAGGCTTATACCCGTTTTTTTTTTTTTCAGGGCTGTTTACGTCACGTCTCTACGCCGCCTCTGACCTCATTTCTGTTCGCAAACCTCCATTTAATAAGGGCAAGCGGCTGCTGTGTACACAAGAAACAAGATGGCGGCGTACAGTACCTTGCATCTCTCCCTTCTCTTCTTTCTTTTAGACAAAGACTGAGCCACCTTGATGAGGTTTCTGGCAGAGCTGAGGCGCCTTGATTTTACATTTTTGCTCCGCGTGGTTTACGGGAGGTCAGACATTTTTTCCTCCGGGAGTCTTTAACTAGTCCGCCACAGGGGTGAATAAGAAACAAACAAAATCTAGTCCTGCTGTCGACGACATGAAATCATTTCAAACAAAATAACTCACTTCAACTGTGTGTCCCTCTCCTGTGTTTGCCTCGCTGTGTCTCTTTTTTGAGTGCTATTTCAAGCCCTCGCTCTCTGTGCGGCGGGGCTCATAATATCAGATTGCACAGCCGGTCTTGGCCAAATGTGAATTTTATACTCTAGTGACCACAGGCTTTACACTTTCATTAGCTCACATTCTCCTCAGCAGTGCAAATGCCATGTCGCTGGTTGAGGAAGGAGGGGTGGCGGCAGGGGGGGCCCCTCGCTGACTGAGCCTGATGGGGTGGAGGATTGTATGTGTGTGTGTGTGTGTGTGAGGGGGGGCAGGTGGGATAGGGAAAACGAGCTTCCGGAAAGCACAGTTCGCCTCCAGGCGTGGGCCACATTCCGGCCACTGTGGGGGGAAAACGTAAAATAAAATGTGCCTCGGCGAGCGCGTATTGCTGACGTCAAAACTTTGGAAGGAGTGCAGACACAAACCGGCTTTTTCGCTATTTGTTTTTACATAATATGGCAATGATTATCTATCTGAAACAATTTCACCCGCAGCCTCACCCACTAAATCTGCCTTTTGATAAATATTATGTTTCCACTTGTACGTTCAAACTAAACAATGTGGTTTTTTGCATTAATGAGCGGCCTCATTAACAAGCACTGTGAACATTTTTCATTGAGCCTGGGATGAGATATGATATTAAACCCCCTCTTAATAATGTTGCCTTTTTCATTTATCTTTAAAGAGTTTTTTTTTCTCCCGCAATGTGTTCCGGGGGAGAGAAAACGAATCAACGGGAGAAGTGTGTGGATGGGCAAATGGAAGGGGGGGCCAGAGAGGAACGAAAATGGTTTGTGTCAGTGCTCCCCCTGAGAGATGAAAGCAAATGCTGGCTGTGTCTTAAGCTATTAGGGTAAGGAGTGGTGTTTGGCCTAAACCCCCCCCCCCAACAACTCCTCTCTGCCAGACATGGACGCACAGAAAATACTGCCTCACACACAAAGCTGCCCTTCTCACTTGCGAGAATTAACTTACACTCGGGCTCTGTGGACCTGCATTGCGAGGTATTTGAGTAACTTTTGCCCCACTGTGTTTCCAATTATCTGCTCGTTGGACTGTGGAGACGAGGGCTGATCTAACGAGACGGTGACATCTCCACGGGCTCCGCTGGGCAGGTGGGTGACAGCATAGAGTTGTCATCTTCTTGTCAGAACTTGTCTCCTGCGTACTCCTATTTTGAAACAAACCCCCGAGTTCGACGGAACAGGTCTGCGAAGACAGCTCGGGAGACGAGGGACAGCCTGACATGCAGGGGGACGGGCTGCAGTCCGTGGCCACCGGGGGTGAGGCAGATACAAGCCACTTCCTTTTTAAGGTTTGTATCTTTGAGTTCTTTCCCCTCTGTGTGGCAAGAGGAGCGGGTTCATGTGGAGGGCAGTGATTACAGATTTGAATGGAGTTAAAATGGAAACATCTTCAGGGCACACTCTGACCTGTCAGCCTCATTCTCCTCGAGTGGATCCGATGAGCGCCGCTGTGCCGTCCCTCACAACGGCCCATCCCTCTTTCTTTTCCTCCAACTCCTTCTCTATTTCCGCTACTTCATGCCATTCCTCCCCCTCCCTCCCTGTATCCTAGCCCTGCCAGGTCAGGTTTGGCATTGGCATACAGAGACAACACCCCCCCCCTCCTGCCACAGCACACACACACACAC